TTGATCGACATCTAGTCACAAAAGTTCTTATGACTTTGCCAAAGTTGGAGCAATGTGCGCAATAAAAGTCTCCAATATTAATTTTGCGATAAGCCAGGCTCTTAAATAATGGAAACTGTAAGTTAAAAAACCCCCCTAAATAAAACGGACCTCGTATAAGCAATTTGCAAAGGTATTTTTAATCTCCTCGAGTTGTGATAAGTGGCCCAGGGGAACCAAATAATTAGAACCTAGATAGATTTGACATATTACGGAAACGAAACAATATATATCTGAAAAAATGATGGGAAAATTAATAAAAAGAAGAAGAAGAAAGTGAAGGAGGAATACATTGTTTTTACACGTGTTTTTTTTTTTTTTTAGTTCTCAAGTGATCCCAACTCCCGCATTATTATATTCAGTCCAGACCAAAGTTTTGGAAAATTTAAACAATTGCGTAAAGAATGAATTCTCAAGTTGATGCGTTTCACAGTTGTTGGGCATTTACTTGTAGTTTATATTTATTTATTTATTTATCCAAACAAGTTATATATGCACATAAAAGCATTATACGCAGGCCATATATTTCTTGATGCCAAGGTAACAATATTTTAATGGGGTATGACCGAATCCTGCTTATTCAACGAGCTTGTCCTAGAAAGGACTAAGAAGACAGTAACTTACGCGCTATTCTTTCTAATATTTAAACTTTAATGGCAAAATAGGTTCATTTTTACTTTAAAAAAAAAAAAAAAAAAAAAAAACATTTACAAGGCACATGACCATAGGTCCATGTAAACTTTAGTTCAGTTAATGAGGTACGCATATGATATGCAGTTCCTAAACTCTGCCCATATTAAGATCCCTCCTGTCCACGATACGAATTTTCCATTTAACTATGAGGCACATCGGGTTACGATTTGTTAGAAAAATGACAAAGGTTCGTCTTAGCATCTAGACTAACTAGATGTAAATTTTAATAATTTTAATTTATTTCTTAGTATCGATTGTTAATGAAAAATAATTGTTGGTTGTTAAGGTAAGTTGGAAAAACTTCTTTTGCAAATGAAATATGAAATAAAATCAAAAAATTATTACCACACAGTTCAAGAGGAACGGGATAGGGTTAACAAATTCATAACGTTACCATGTCCACCTACTGTTGCTTATTTTCCCGTCAATCACATATACAACATTTTTTTAAATATTCTTCTAATTTTTTTGATTTTTTCTCTCAGAAAAAAAAAAAAAAAAAAAAAAAAAAATTCAATTTCATGTTTGTGGCTTGTGACCTCTCTGCGTTGTGGCTCAAAATACAACTATCTGTCTCCATCCATCTCCAGCACCAAAGCAAAGCCCGCAATGCGCTGAGTTTTTAATTTTATAATAAAACGGAGTGACACGTGGTGGATTAGGGAAGAGTGATGTAAAACGTCTAACAAGCAGCGATAGCAGCGAACATTTTTCACTTTAGATAAAGTTTTCCGAAACATCCTGACATAAATAAAATGGAAAATGTCGTCGATATCCGGTCAAATTTTCGCTATAGGATTTTCAGGTAATCTTCACTTCAGATACTCTGCACTTCATTTTTAAGATAAACGCAAAAGAAATAAATATTGACTTTGAACATGTTTAAGATGCCGGTCAGCGAGGTAAACCCATTTTGATAACTTAATTGAGCCGACTTTGACTCCGCTAAAAGTGCTATGAGCTTTTTCAATATCACTCAATAGCTATTCCTAGGTCAACACCGCTTCCATTGTATGCATCGTGGTAGCATGGTAGATCTAATACTTATCTCTGGATATTGTATCATCAACTTTGCTTCTGTTGCGAATTTTTATAATTGCAAGGATTAATTGACACAACCTTCATACAATATAACACGTACGTATGCACGTATGTCTTCTCTGCATGATAAATTAACTCATTTGGTTGAAACTATACGTCTCGCACGATACTAAATAGCATAAAGGCTTGAGACTCGTCTCATAAATAATTTCATTAAGGTGTCATTTCGGTGAAATGCTCTGTTTCACTCTAGTATGAATAGAAATTCGAAAAATATGTTCAAAAATTCCAAATATCTCATTGTATAAATCCCGTCTCTGACGTATGCACGATTTTTATGTTATCCTATCCCGTAAATATACAGTGGCTGGCAGGTGAATGTAGAGGCAAAGGAGAAAAGAAATTTCTTTCGTTTCGTTTTTTTTTGTTTCTGATAGAAAATGTAAAAACCACCAATAATTATTCGTCGCATCGAAATTGTTTTATTAATCGATTTACAATTCGAAAAATGTTAAAATCCTTTATTGAAATCATTTAACACCGCTTAGAGTGCATTGTTTGCGTGCGTGTGCGAATTAAAATTCCAAAACATCTTTATTATATTCGGCATATACACACCTATATGTATATGTTTATATATTCGTATTCACATGTGAAGAAGAATAAGAAGAATAAAAACAAAATAAATGTTAAAAGAAATATTCAAGATAAACGTCAACAAACATGAGTTCATTCACTTATTCACTTGGCTTTCATTTTTTATGCATACATATGTGTACGTATATTGTTAACATTTTGCTGTCATTATTTTTTTTTTTTTTTTTATTGTGTTTATAAATTTTATAAATATTTTTTATCAGTGTCATCCATTGACACATTGTGGTCAGCCACAAAACCTAGTTTTTAGTTTAGTTATATATATATATATATATATATATATATTAAGCAATAGAGACTGTGTATGATATACCTTGTCTGTAAATAAATACGTGTGGCTTCAATTAAGCTTCTATTTTTTTCCTTGCTCTAACGTATCTATTTTATATTTGAAGACGTTCTAAATAGTTGGTTGGTTTTCAAAGCAAACAACAACATTTTGTTGATTTTATTGTGATTGAATTGCAAGAAAAAACAAAAAAAAAAAAAATTCATAAAATAAATTTAATTGCATTTAACCCAAACACCTGTAGTTAAGTTATTTACTTACAATGCTTTTCGTGTTTTTTCCTAAAGTGCTTCGAAACTAATTTATTTGATTGATATTTATTTACTTCAAATAAAACCTAAAATTAATTAAACAACTTTTTAAGGAAAAATACTGAAAACAATCAAAAACAAGAGAACAGCAATAATAAGAAATGTTAGGAAAAAAAAAAAAAAAAAAAAAAACAATAACAACAACAACAATAAATTAACACTGTTGTTGAACATCGCTAACAAACTAGGTCACCATCGTAATGATGACATGCCATAATAACATAGCATAACGAATACGTTGAGCGACGTTGATAATGATAATTTTTAAAATAAAATCTCTAGAGTCTTACCGAACTATTCCTTCATGACTGTTCTCAATTTTTTGGTTTTTTTTTTTTTTTTTTTTTTTTTGTGTGTGAAATCAATCGAAAGTAATTACATATAAATTACAAGTGATCATAAAGCAGCCGTGAGCTCTCAATAAATCTTACGATTTTAAATGATCACTAATTATCATTAATTAACTGCAAAGTTCCAAAGCAACATATGCTCTTAAGCCTTCATGCTAGGGAGCTAAACGAAAGGTTATTTGCTAAGGAAAAACATTTTTTCCCAACTGCAAAAAAGATAGGACGAACGACTTTTCAATTTCTGATCACATCAGTGAAGCCAAGTCCTAACCTATATGCTCCTTAATGAAATTACCCTTCTTGCCCTAAACTTCAACTTGCAACTTGAATATAAACTATAACTTTGAAGACTTATTTTCAAGACTTATTTTTCCCTTATTAGCCTTATTTGGTGACATTAAAGCTGCTGCTTACGTGCACTCACTCAAAAAAAAAAAGAAAGTCTCAAACTCTCAAAACCTTTTCCACAATCGCACGTTTATGTTATGTTAATCGACTCTCATTACGTTTGAATAAAATTTAACTGAGTCTTCAAAGTCAAATGTCAAAGTTATTCCATTAGCTTTTGAGCGACGAAACCAGAATCTCGAGACCCATTACATAAACTTTACAGGTCATTACGAACTCCTTTTACTTAAATCGATTTTTTGAAATCACTTATTAGTTCCTGCAACAAAAAGTCTTAAAAGGAAAATGTCTTCTCCATTAAAACTAAATATAGTCGCGCGAAAAAATGCTAATATTGAAACGATAAACAAGTTTTTGCTGATTGGTGAGGATCTAAGGTACTTTACATTTAATTTTACAAATCTTTACGAACTCTTTTCACTCCATTTCTGTTCAATTTCTACGAAGATGAAGCTTAAATATGTATGTAAAATTAATGTTCCAATGTATGTAACATTAATTTTAATACCTATAGATTTTAAAATAGGCATAGGCGACATTAAATAGACCAATACCTGCATACCTTAAAAAAAAAATAAATAAATAAAAAAAATAAAAATTAAGAAAATAAAAATTTTAGTTTTCTATCAAAGAACGAACCTATAAAATATGACGACTTTATATGCTGGCGAAATTAAACAAAAAAGCAAACGTCTTCTCAGAGTTTTTTTTCCCCCCCTCCCCAGAAAATGTTGAGCTAGCCATAGACTTGTAGATAATTAGCAGAGCCACACTCTATAGGAGCTGAAAATATGATATCAAAATTTAGGTATTGCAACAAATTTCAAAGTGTCTGCGCCTCTGTGGTAAAACTCTATTCTTGCGAAACTTAACCGATAAAGTAAATCTTAAAAGATTAAAAAAAAAATTTAAAGAAAAGAATTTGAAAACATCGCTTGCCACATTTTATTGATTAGTAGTAGCCGTTGGTATATCTTCTTATTTCAAAACATGTCACCAATCGAAATTAAGAATTATTCACTTTTCTCATAGTTTGATTACTTACGGTTTTTTTTGGCGAATATAAAGTAAATCAAATATACAATGTAAGCATATGGACAAGAATTGCATGCAAATGCATTTATTTCAGGTAATGTACTTTTTTTTTTTTTTTTGTATTCACTTAACACATAAAACTTCATCTAACTACGGCTGTCAAATAAAATATGACAATATTTCTTAGGGGTAAATTGATTCATTCGTATTTTGAACTCAGAACTGGACGTAGCATGAGGTACATAAAACTAAATGGTTTGGTTTCTTTCTTTCTCTTCTCTTTAACTCTTTGCCGGTTTTAATAGAGTTTTATCGGTACTCTTATTATATTTTTGCGGCATAGCGCCTTTGCAATATGTGCTTTCATCGATAGGCTTCTTCAAAAAATTTCCAGCATATGCTGTTGCTGCTGCTGCTGCTGCTGCTCCTTCTGCTGCAGATGATGTCAACATAGGTAATTCGATCACGTTAGTCGTTTTCGATTTATATGATGCATCATCGTTACTTCTCGGCAAATGTTGCTGAGTAACTTTTACCCAAAGAGGCTCATATTCCGGTAAATAGGCTTTCGATTTTTTAACGCTAGACTCGGCTAGAGAATCTTGAACACTGAACTGAATAGGAGGGTACTGTGAACGAGAGATGAGAATGAAAAAAAATCTACGTCAAATAATAAGAAGATTAGCTGCTGAAATGATTAATGCTTCGTTAGATGCGTAATATTCAAGGCCGAGGATTAATTTCAAAAATTTCAAAAGTTCTAAAATCTCTGTGATTGCATAAACACATATTTTAAAAGCAAGTTTAAATTAGTGATAAGGGCAAGTGGCACGCTCGGTATGCTCAGTATGCTTAATAATATATAATGGACCCAGCGTGTAGCTGTAACAAATTGCAAGTAAATGTATTATTTTGGATATATGACGCAAACGATCCTAAGAGGATCATAACGGAAGGACCGTCTCGTACCAAGAAGACTCAGTTTTATTAACATTGAGAAGAAGAAGAAGAAGAAGAAGAAAACAAAAGTTGCAATTATTTAAAAACACACGTAACTTTATCATCCCGGACTAATAAATACGATATGACTCAAACTAGATAGGTCACCGTTCAGAACAGAACATATGCCTAACAGAAAAAATTCCGCTGAAATTGCTCAAGCTTTTTTTTTTTTTAATTAATCCGTTTAGGTGCGATAAGCTAATGTATTATCAGCTAATGCGCATCTTATATACTTATATGCCAAGATGATTACGTTAATGTAATTGAGAGCAAATTTAATGCGATATCACCTCGAGACTAAAGAATAGATTAATTAAAATTTTACATTAATTTTATTTATTATTAATTTAGGAGTATATTTACAAAGGGATTTGAAAAAACTAAATAATTTACAGGTCAACCTAAATATCATTTTTTTTATTTTTTTTATTTTTATTTTTTTTTATTTATAATAAATTGCTTAAAAGTAAAAATAATTACTATTACGATTGCTATTGTTATTAGTGCGGGATCTTACATAGTATCGCGGCATATATTTGACCTTTTCGTATGCCTTGAACTTTTTCGTTTTTGCATTATATTTTCCTTGCCATTTGTAGCCGTTGTGCGATGATTTCGGTACAACGGCCGTGTATTGAGTGCCGCCGTTAGGTATATATTGAGGTGATAAACTAGCCACTACTGATGTCGTCGTAATGCCATTTTGATGAACGTTCTTGGGCGTTACAAGTGTACCATATTTATTATTATTATTATTATTATTATTATGGTTATTATTATTGTTGTTGTTATTATTATTATTATTATTATTGACATTTGTATAAAGTCTTTGTTTAGGACGCGAAGGCGGTGGTGGCACATAGCTATGATTGAAAAAAGACCGTAACAAAATTCATTATTATTAAAAATGTTAATTAAAAAAAAATTTTCATTTTTAATTTATTAATTTTTTTTTTTGTTAAAATCTTCTGACGGTGGCTTGTTGAAAGCAGGCAACAATTTTATACTCTCTGGATATTATTTGACTGCTTTTTATTAATTTCCGTTTTGTCGATCTACTGTAACACTATCGCTAAATGGTATCCGTCAACCTGTTAGTTTAACCTGACTGGAGGACTTTGCACTTTAACTTTCAAAAATTGCTTATATACTTTTTAATGATTTTCTCTTTTTTTGTATACATTATTATCCCAAAAGGCTTGGCTTACATTAAGTTTGCCATCGAGCTTGTAACGTCGACCAGCATGCACTGAAGACTTTTCAGAATACATATACATACACATTAACTCTGTCAATTTATTATAGCAAAGTTATTTTAGGAGAGATACGATTTTAGCTAAAATTCACAGGCGTGATTGGGGCTATTAGGCTATTAGCGGTTCGGCAATTTCTGAAGAATGGATAAAAATCTTAAAGAATCGAAAATATTGGATTAAGTAAATATTTATTTGAAACTTTGATGCAACCACAATGTTGATCCGTACGAGACAAACGCTTTTATTTTGCTTGAATTTCTTTGTTGCTATAATTTTCGTACTTGTTTATGCATATCTTCGTTTATATTTCATTACACCATTTCAGTCACTTACTAGCTATTTGTAAAAATGCTGCAAAAAACCTTTCTCTTCTCACTTAAACAACTTTGCTGTTACACTTTTGTAGCCTAAACGTTTTCTGTTAGTTTATTGGAATGATTGTTAAATTCGTGAGTTTCCTCGTTTGTTAACTAAGGTCAAAGAGAAAAAAATTATATTGTTTCCAACTGCTTGGTGTCAATACTAAAAGGAAACTTCCCCACCGTGTTTTATGCAAAATGTGGAAACTGACTTACATGTACGGATTGGGATTTGAGATATCATCACTTAGATCTTGCCATACTGGTGCTGGTTCTCTGTATGGCGGCAGTGGTCGTACTGTAGTGGTAGGTATTGCTGGTACTATGGGACCCTTGTTCGTATTCCAATCTACTCGTATCGCTGAGGTAAATGTAAGGAAACAAGTGACTAGTAAACCCTTTGTCGAAGACATCTAAAAAAAAAGGAAAAAAATTTAAATTTCACTTATATAATACTCATATAATAAATAAATTAAAACAAAACATCTAATGCAACTGGCATAGGGAATACAAACGATTAATATTCGAGCAGGCTATTAAGCTTATATTCAAATATAAAAAGAGATTTATTTTTGAAAAATTTAAAAAAAAAAAGTGTGAATACTTTGGGGCTATTCTCGAGATGCGTCTTTAACTTAAAGGACACTGTCGTTCATGCGCCTTTTTTTGCAAAGGCGAATATCAAAAAAAAATATCCAATCTACGACCCTATAGTTAGGGAATTAGAAGCGGGATTTTAAAAATATTTCCGGATTTCTGGATGATGAGTTGGAGTCGAAAAGTTCAAAATTTAACAAAAAAAAAAAAAAAAGAAAAAACACAAAACAGAAAACAAAAAGGAAATTTTTTATTAATAAAAATGGCTTAAATTCATTTGTAAAAATTCATCTTCGGTCTACTCCAGAGCACGTGATTTTAAAGATATTGTAAAGAAACTCAAAACGAAACAAAATTGTGGAAGCTATTGCATGGACCATTTCGAAAAATGAGGTTTGCGTTATGGGCATTTTTTCACGCATTATTTTATACCCTACAATGCATGTGTGTGTGTGTGTGTGTGTGTTTGCATTAAGTTTATGCGAATGTATGCAACGCCCAGAAGCACTCAATATCGATCCACCTTTTATTACACCGTTCCGTTCAGAATCGCTTTATAAATTGATCTAACTTTGTGTGCCCGTCTGTCCGTCTGTTCGTCTTGTTTTCTTGTGTTCAACCCACAGATCGCAATTTTGATAAACCGATATGTTTTGGGCCAGCGACAAACGCTACTGAAAATGATTCGTAGGTGACATTATCTAGTTTGACCGCGCTTCAGTCTCAAATTTGGCTGCTTTCTCATATCTACTTGTCGCTAACATGCCAGATTCCAAAAAAATTCTCCAAAAATAACTTCTATAAGCACATTTTAAACCATTGATATTGACCTTCTTTGAAAGGTGTTTTCATGTAGATTCATGTGGTGTCCACAAAACTATTTTACCTTGCCTAAGCTGGACGGACCAGACTTCCAAATCCAATTATATCTTAATTCTAAATATTTTTACGAATATGGTATGTGTCCTTGCTAATTAAATTCGAATTTGTCTTCACATCCTTGTTGAATTCGAACTTCGGTAGTACACTAACAGATGTCTTTAGAAAGTGTTTAAGATATTTCCAAACATAAATACGTAAGTAAATTGTATAGCTTCGTCGAGATAACCTTTGAATGGATGCGAAGCTAAGGGGGATTCGACAGCAATTTGTCAAGAAATTAAGAGGTGCCAATGAACGTTTCGTGCTGTAATTTAATTTTTTTTTTTTTTTTTATTTGCCATTTTTTTGTCACTTCCCAGAAAGCAAAGTGTAAAAAGTACGTTGCTGTCTTGGAAAGATGCAGCAAAAGCAGTAGTCGCGAACATAAAATTTTTGGGGAAAGACAACAACGAAAAATACTTGAATATGGAATAGCGGTGTTGTGCTGCTAATAGCAAAAATTAAAAAAAAAAAAACGTATCCGTAACAGATTTTTAAACAACAAATGCCTTTTTTTTTTAAACAAAATTTTCTCAAGATGGACGATAGCGTAAACCTACCAATTCTCATGCTTTTCGTTCAAATTCTCTGACATTTTTAAAGCAACATTCTGAAGGGAATTGATTTTGTTTTTGTTTTTTGTCGAAAATTGATTTTCCGTTCAAACACTTGCCGAAAATCAATATTTTGTAAAACGTCTACCTACTATCACAGTTATAGCGACGAAGACTAAATGATCTCCTTTTTTTTTTTTGGATTCAAAATTGCACCAGCCACACGACTTGCCCGCGATTCACTAAAATTAATGGTGCCTCGCGAGACTAGCTGCCATGTTGCTCTTTTTTTTTTACGCTTAATTCTATATTCTCACTGACCTCTTTGTAAATTTTATTCTACACTCTTTCCTTCTATCAAAACATAAAAGCGCTTAGAAATAGTTTCCTTTAAACTATTTTAGTGTTGTTACCCATTAAGACATTGCAAGTTGCATGTAGCAGATTCTATCGAATCCCGTTAAATAATTGGCCTCAAAGCTTTCTTACATGTTTTTGCTTTTATTTATTTTATATTAAAAAAACGTTACATTAAGAACAACTGTTGTGTTTTTTTTCGGATTTAACAGATTTTAATATCGATGAATGTTTATTACGTCATACGTCATATGCTAAGTAAAGTAAATATTTATGAATATTTCATCAGACTATTTTTTAAATGAATATCAAAAACAATAATATGACGTTGCCTGGCAAATCAAATGTCATCAGTAAGAAATTAAAATAAAACAACAACAACTTAAACTTAAAGCACTACCATTGGACGAGGTCGACTTTTAAATATCGTAAATTACTGCGCCTACTACAATTCTTCTTATCATTTGTTATTTTTCTTTTTTATTTATTTCTCATCAAAATTCTTATACCGAGTCCGAAAAATGTAATCTTCTCTATATAAAATGCTAAAAATCAATATTTGTTGCAATATAAAGGCTTGTGTTTGCAAGAAAGTTTGTATGAGAAAAAAGAGGTTTGTAAAGTGATCTCGTTCCATCAAATGAGTTCATTCAATATGCCTAAGCATAATTTTGCATCCAATAATTTAATAAACGGCTGATCTACCTCAAAGCTTTCCGGATGCTGCATACATTCATACAACGTTAACATAACCGTAACGCTGGATACTAGAAGAAAGATTATTAGAACTGTTAAAGGAATTCTTATATTGTTACGTAATAATTCAAGAATTTATTCATTTTAGAAAAACATCCAAAAAATATACATCGAGAAATAAATAAAGTAAATAATTTTAATATAATCAACACAAGCACCCGACATGCTTCACAAATGTGAAACATAAACAATACAAAAAGAAACAAAAACATTACAGTCGAGCAAAGTCGTTCTTTAAGTATCCTATAGTACCTCATCTAGTAGAACGCTTTCCTTATTTTCGCTATAAAATGCCAAAAATTTATGGCTGTTGCCATGCGTAAGCTTACTTTTCATCACAATATCCTTATATAGGAAAGGGCTCAAATAGGGAATCGAGGAAGTCTCTATTTAGCAATATCTGAAAAAATCTCTTAATAAATATTTATATTCGCCCCTATTTTTGTCATAAAATACTGCGAACTACCCTGTGTTGTCCGGAGAAACACATACAGGAAAAATTTGCGTGTTAAGCCATTGCTTTGACCCAAAGCGCATCATCAAATACTAAAATTTAATTCTTTATAAAAGACTTTTTTTAAGAAACGTACGAGATCAGATTTAAAGAAGCATCCCGTCCCGTCTAAATTTTGCGTATTCGTTTATTAGGCCAATATACCATTGTAGTGGCATAGGAAGACAGAGACATACGATGCGTAGTTTTTATTGAATCGTATGTTCAAGCTGTGTCAACTTTCTGGGACAACACTCTATTTCTCCTGCTTTTGTCGAGAAACACTGAAAACTGTAAATTTCTTTAAAAGGACAATCTTATCTTACATCTCACAACGGATCTCATAAAATATTTTAATTACTCAGTGACTAATAGCTGAGAATAATTGAATCTTTGAATTTTCCAACCCATTGTCAATTTGGATTGCTTTTCCCTCGAGTTTCTCACCTTGAGATAGTTGTTTTTTAGCTTTTTATTATTGAAGAAAGATGCTGTTCAGTGACTCGCCCAGAAATGCACGAAACAAAATAATGTTGACTTTCATCCAATTAGTCACAAATAATTTGGTTGAATAAATAATGCGTACAAATATCAAACAATGCCCTTTTTATAACCGTAAAACGAAGGATTGGCATATGTTCATTTTGGCAAATCCAACACACAGATGTGAACTTCAGAGACCACATAAAGTTTACATATTCTTGATCAGCATCTCAATCAATTTCGAATTCGTTCTTCGAATCGGTCTCTACGTCTGTATAACGTTTGGAAGAGACGGTGAGGTGCTATTCTCTACGCTCTCGAACTGTTCATCATAAACCATTTCTCTCTCTCTCTCTCTCTCTCTCTTTTTCTTTCTCTCTCTCTATTTATTTATGTATCTCTATCTCTATCTATCTATCTATTTATCTCTCTATCTCTCTCTATCTGTCTACCTATCTATCTCTATCTATCTATCTATCTATCTGTCTATCTCTCTATCTATCTCTCTCTCTCTCTCTCTCTCTCTCTCTCTCTCTCTCTCTCTCTCTCTCTCTCTCTCTTTTCTCTCTCTCTCTCTCTTTTCTCTCTCT